CAGTCACCGCTGCAGCTTATGTCATCAACAGATCACCATCACGAGTTTTGGATGAGGTAACTCCCTATGAAAAATGGACCGGTAAGAAACCAAACATTTCTCATTTAAAGATTTTTGGTTCTAAGGCCATGGTACATATTCCAAAACAAAACCGTCTTAAATGGGATCGTAAATCAAGAGAATTAGTGTTTGTGGGATATTGCGACAATACAAAGGGCTACAGATTGTATGATCCAGTAAATAAAAAGATTGTAATCAGTAGGGATGTGATATTTATTGAAAAATCAATGAGTGAGAATGATAATATCACACTGCAACCCATACCTGCCAAACAGTTTGTCAATGTCCCTCTAAATACAGTAAATGATAACATACCTGTTGATGATAGTTCACAGAATGAAACGCAAAATGATACCTTATCACACTCGAGTACGGACACGTCTTTCGATAGTTGCGTGTTGAATAGAACAAATAGTGATGAAACTTATCATCCCAGTACAAGTGATGACAGTATCGACGATGTTTTTAGAACAAATATGACTTTAAGATCTCACAAGAAACACAATAATTTCATGTGTGTTCAACAGATTTCAGATCCACTAACTGTTGAAGAAGCCTTGTCGGGCACTGATGCTGAACATTGGAAATCAGCAATCGACGAGGAGTATCAGTCCTTATTAGAAAATAATACTTGGGAAATTACTACTCTTCCAAGATGGGGTTGATTTATGTTTAAGGGAGGATGTTGGAATAGTAAACATAAAATATTTAATTGTAATTTTATATATGAATAGTTCCAACCTCTTTGTTAACTTGTGTGCCTACTATTTATTTTTCTATTTAAATTTGTCATGTTCTATGTCACTGTAAAAAGTATTACCGGGCAATAAACGTTGTTAAACTTTCCCTTTTATTATAATTGATTTCCTACATCCAATATTATGGAAGTTGTTGCGGGTACTCATGAGGGTATGCTGAACTTAAAATACAGTTTTGAAGATGATTATATTATGGAGTTCCACACGCGTACGGAGTTACACATACAGGGAGCTACAATGGACCACAATTGGTCGACGTAGTTATGGCCGACCTCGGCACCACTTCCAATAAAATGTAATAAATAATAATACACACTCATGATCTACCAGCCAGATTTCCTACTCGAGACGCCCGGGTACGGTGGACGCACACGAAGTGGACGTTCACGAGGTGCACAAATACTCCGTGATGCTGCTACTCCTACTGCTAAAATTCCAATCGAATCCAAGCTGCAAAGGGCTTACAATGAACCATTTCCTGTGTCTCAGACTTATTAAGTCATTGTAAAAATTATGACACACCACGCCACTACCATGATTTTTATGAGGTTTTGGCATGCGAAACTGTTGAGGATGAAGTACTCGTAGTAGAACATTATTCCCAAGAAGACACACCATTTCTTTATGGATAATTTTGTTATTTCTTTTTGATACCTACCAAGATTGTAATACTTTAATACATTTTAGATCGTAGAAATGTAAATAACCTGAAGACTATGTTATTGTTCTGGTAAATAGGTATATTGGTATTTTTTCTTATGACTTAATTATGCTGTGTCCAAAACTTTAATTAAAAGTAATAAATGCATAATAATAAATAATTACGTTATATTCTAGATTGATTGTAGTCATTCCAAAACAACCATATTCATATAATGTACACAGCATTCACAAGTACATTTTCCAAGTCGATTATAATTAAATTCATGTAACATCACTGCAAAACGCTATTACTGTATTCGCCATACATCCTCTAGATCAGCGTACAACGGTGCAATAGACTATTGCTGTCTGATTGATTTTGCACTTTTTACCGGAATAAAACCACAATGGATTCTTACGGAAACGACATTCAATGTATGAAGCGGCAATATGATTTTTTACTTGTTTTTAGGTATTTCCTTAGAATTATAAGCTTATGTACATTATATATCCGTCCAGAAAAAAATAACGCATCTTTTGATATATAAACCGTTTTGATGAGCCTCGTAGTTTAGTAATTATTCATGATTTTCACTAAATCTTTTTTCCTGTAAAATTGTATTTTGTCGATTGCGGCTTTGTTCCAATAACCCATCGATATGGTACCTGCAAGAAACATTCGAGCTATCAAATAATAGCAGAGCTAAAGTTTTATTGCATTCATATGAATAGTATTGTAACAAATAAGCATTGACGACGAACAGACAAGAATTCATTTTTATATAACATTTATGAATAGATGCAGTACTCGCATAAATAAATAATATTGAAAAGTTTTGCATTTGAATAAATGATATTGTGATTGTGATATTATTATAGATATACATACTAGCAGAACCCGCGGCTTTCTCGCGCTAAACTACAATAAACTCTAAAAAGTTCGGGTTCGTACAAACTTTCATCCCCTATTTTACCCCCTTATAGGAAAAATTAAAAAAAATATGCTAAAACATGTATTGATTTAATTGTAGAGCATTAATATTAAGTGTCAAGTAATTCTGACCATAAATATTCTTTTGGTTGTTTTATATCGTGTTTTCTCGTGGGAATGAGATGATCTCCCGCGGCCAAAAGTAGCCTATGTCACTCTCCATCGAAAATCCATGAGAAAAAGCTCACTGAAGTTAATTAATACGAATTCTGTTAATTGTTGTGTTAAGAAGCACTTATTAAATATTTTTTTTAAGTTTGACGTTTAAAGATCATACCAAAGAGCGAATGAATATATTTTATCATTCAAATCTAAATATTAACTGTGATGGTTGTACTGAAAAGTGTTTATAAATATTTAAATGAAAAGAAACCACTATAATATTATAACAGACGTTTGCGAACGTCCAGATGGTGGGAAAAGCTTTCAGATGTAAATCGAAACACATTACAATACCGCATAACATTAAGCGTTGCACGGAACCTGCCATTCAGAGCCATCGACGGAGATTACTCCAATTGACGCCGGTCCCCGACGCCTGATGCTGGGCCGAATGATGCGATAACTTACTTGCGGTGATCTCGGTCTTCGCTCCGCCTACGACGATCCATTTAGGTCCATTATATGTCGTTCTTCTAAGATTTCTGATTTTTGACCATTATTCTACGACATTTTTCAAGCTATTACTTGCTGCTTTATCTACTATATATATATATATATATATATATATATATATATATATATATATATATATAAAAGTTTTGTGGCTAATTATATTATTATGTCATAATGTAGCCTCAAAGACTGCGCATTAAATAAAATCATACACTATACAATTATTAGTGCGAGATTTTTGAGAATAAATTAAGTTCTTTCATAGATTATTTCCTACATATAAACATTACACACACTACCAAACAACGCGACATATTCGACGGTCATAATGCATAATAGCTTACCTATTTCAACGAGAACTCTGAAAAGTTTCGGTAATACCATCAGTTGTTCCGCTGCACTCGTTCAGTAATCGACTTACACGCGGGACAGTTGAATTAGCGCCAAGTAGAGCGCCGCTTCAGCTTTGAGCGGAAGGAAGAGGACAAACAATCGGATCAGTCTTCTCTCTCTAGATTCGGAGATTTGCGGTTTATTGAATGGGATGAGATAGTTCGGTTTGTTCACAGTACGGTTGCTAGCTAGTAACTCTTGTGTCTAGATCCATGTCTCTATATAGAGTACAAAAATACTATTTACATATTATTGTATCTAATAATACAATATTATTAACACTATATGTTATTAACAATATATGTTTTATATATTTCATATTAAACTTAATATTTCAATTTGACTCACATTGCCATCGCTTCACCTGAGACACGTACCTATATATCAAAAACCCAAAATTTAATAGTACGTATTTTAAAAACATATGGCGACATCTATTGACGTTGATCTAAATGTATCATAAATAAATAATTTTTGAGTTGTTTTAATGAATAAAATATCGCTATTGATCTTTTTTTTTCAAGATATACTATTTTTAATAGTTTTTTGCATGGATCAAAAAGGTATTAAATACACCGAATTGACACGCAAGAATTTCTTCACCGAATGAGTGCTCATTTGAACCTTTGAGCGCACTAAATAAAAAAAAATATATTTGTGAAAACAACTTTAAGCAATGCATTTAAGGTTCAATTTACATTGTTGTATATTTATTTCAACTAGAATAATTACCTAAACGAAATTGGTGACAGTTTTAAGAGAAATTTTGCATGGAATTGTTTATCTAGTACTTTTTTGATCGATAGTTTTTTGCCATATTTACCTGCTTAAATGTATATAGTATCAGTGTGATTTTATTCTAACCAGTTTCTTGTATGTAGTACCAGTAACCAGTATTTTGTCTGTTCAATTACGACTATTTAAAGTGGAAAGTGTGATTATGATGACCAAATCATATTATTAATTAAAGAAATATAGATATCTAATATTGGTACGGTCACTTCAAAATGTTATTACTTAACTAAAACTAATACATAGACACTATTGTTTGAAACTGTGATTACAACATAAATAATAAACAGATGATTACGTAATAGTGTTCTTTGTTCAAAGTTGTAGAAACTTAAGTTCAAAATTTATTTTTTTGTTAATCTTAGTCACATAAGAGTCAAGTACTAAGTGTTCTATTCCTTCCTTCTTTCCTATTCCTTGATTATATTGCCTATTGTAAGACTGATACTAAAATCTGACTGATCGGCCACTAGTAGGTACATCTCTAATTTATACGCGTCATTTTAAAACAAAAAAACGACCTTGAAAATTTCTTGTTCGAATTATACCGGAATTACTCATAAAATTCTACGTTGCGTAGTGTATTACATATTAAAATGGTAACCTTGTGTACGTGCTGGCAATAGATAATTCGTAACCGGTATTTATCAGTCAAAGTCAGAGTTATACGTGATAATATTACAACGCTATACTATGTTTTTATAAATAAAAAATAATTAGTTTTCTTACAATACTTAAATAGGACAGACATGTCGCAAAACGTAGCTGTTGTTACCGGTTCGAATAAGGGGATAGGTTTTGCAATAGTTAAGCTGTTGTGTCAGAGATACGATGGGGTCGTGTACTTGACGTCGCGAGATGAGAAGCGAGGGAGAGATGCTCTGGAAGAACTCAACCAGCTTGGGCTCTACCCCGAATACCACCAGCTGGACGTGACCGATAGGGAGAGTGTTATCAAGTTCAGAGATCATATCAAAAATAAACACAACGGTCTCGACATTCTTATCAACAATGCAGGGATGGTCAATAATTATAGTGTAATTAAAAAAGGCTATCAAGAGGATAAAAATATTATCGAAATCAATTATAAAGGTGTACTTACTATTCAAGAACTAATTTTTCCATTGATTAGGAACACTGGGCGTGTACTAAACATATCAAGTGACTGTGGTCATTTGTCTAATATTAGAAATAAATATTGGATTGACAGACTCTCTCGTAAAGACTTGACGGTTGATGATATAAACGAATTTGTAGAATGGTTTCTAGAATCTTCTAAAAATGGAACTTTTAATAAAGAAAATATAGTCGATAATGGAAGTATTGCTGCTTACAGAGTCTCCAAGGTCGCTTTAAGTGCTTTGACTATTATTCAACAAAGGGAGCTTGAGGATCGGAATATTTCAGTGAACTCCATGCACCCTGGCCTCGTGCGGACAGACATGACAGTCGGCATCGGGATGTTCACAGCTGACGAAGCGGCCGAGACTCCTGTCTACTTAGTCCTTGATGCTCCTCAATCGTTGAAGGGTGCCTACGTATGGTACGACCGCCGAGAGCTCGACTGGTACGACATCAAAGCAGATTATTATTTTACTATGTCGTTCGCTCGTAGTTGGATCTTTGCAAGTATGTTTGCTAAGTTCAAATACTATTTAGGGAAAATTTTAGGATGGTAAAAAATTACTGGAAAAATGATCTAGAATCATTATTATGATATGTTAATGCAGGAATTTTAAAGCATTCTCAGTAAAAGAAATGTTTATCTTTGGCTTAAGCATGATACATTATGTTAATTTTTTTTATTATATTTAGTTTAACTAACATATAATATTTTAAATAAGCTAATATTTTTAATATATAATATTTTAAATAAGTACATTGTATAGCGCAAAGTAATTGTTACATTAGCTGTAAGTGAGATCTTACATTTAATGTCAGACGCTCATTAGCTATTTCTTATTCCTGATTCGAGCACCTTCTGTAATTACACCTACTAGCTATTATATTAACGTTATTTAGTTTTACTGAGAGAACTAATATTTACATACTGTAGTTTTGGTAAAGGTTTATTATTTATGACAACCATTCTACGTTTCATTTATTTCACCTATTCCTTTTGGTAAGATTTTTAAGAAGTTGTTATTTCTAGAGAAATACTATATAATACTTCAAAAAAAAAAAGAAGTATTATACTGTCATTAGTTTTCATTATTACACTAGCGACTACACTCGGGAGCGTCCCAAGGTGTCTAATAGTATGTACCTATATTTTACTACAGGTCATATCTGTATAATACACCTATAAATGTCTGCTGTGCTGTTTCAGTGTGAAGTAAAACATACTAAGACTAAAGAATTGTATAGACGGAGCTCGAGTAGCGTGATTTGCTGTTTATGCTACTATTTCACCAAACAAGTAGTTTACTTTCTTTAAAGAATAAGGAAAATTTTACAAAGTTATTAGTCTTTATTTTGAGAAGAATAATATAATCTATACATATATATATATATATATATATATAAAGAATAATAATCTATACGTATATTAAAACAGTAAATTAGCGAAATCTGTAAAACAAATATGTAAAAACAATGACTGTATTATGTACAAAATATAGACCTCAAAACAATAGTTATTAATTTTTTTGTTAGTTTGTCTGTTTTTCTATTGTATATCTAAATATCTGACTGTGTGCGTATCACGCAAAAATCAATTCAAATCAAATCAAAAATTTTAGGTAGTAATAACTTATTACTCGAGTCAACATTTAGTATACTTTTTACTACAAGAAAATCTTTCGATTCCACGGGAAAATAGAATAACTGGTTTGAGTTATCCTTAGAAATTTACATGGCTAACTCTGGCTAAACATATTAGGTTTAATAAGGTTTAACCTAAAAAGGTCAACAGAAAGTACGAAATATCAAGTATGAGTCTATCTATTGAGGTATACTTGCAATAACTTTTATTATAAAACGTATCTAGGGATACACGTTTGTTTTTTAATGATTAAAAACGCATTTACGCATTTCGCATTTAGAGAAGAATTCTAGAACATTGTGATCAGAAGCGAGAAAAGCTGGAAAGGCTTGAAATTTGTTGAATTTTTAAGGTGATATTAAAATTGGGCTTGAACGAAGAATAAAGGTTAATTTTGGGACGAAAAGACAATATTTAAGGATGGTATATACAATGTGAGTATTTAGAGAGCCTAATTTCTTAATATTGTCTAAAAATGTTTTATTTTTTTCCTCTTCTACTAATGGGATGCTTCCGTCAAGAAGTGGAGCTTCAAGGAGGCAAAGAGAATTTTTATCACCTGTTCTAATATTAGGGGCAATTTTCGGATAATGTCTCTTGCTAAAATCTTTTCTATGGAATTGTCCGTGAACGTCAAATTTAGATAAATGTTGTGAAGCATCGTCGCAATACAATATCTGCTTCTGCAAACATAGCCAGGACCGCCCAAGCCATTATATTCGCTTCGATAGACCTCAAATCCTCGCTAAAGAAAACCGATATCGCCCTAGAATGATTCGAGAAGCCATAGAAATTAAAAAACATCCAAATTTCAATAGGGAAGATGGCTGGGTACTACCATCGTCATGGGATCCTGTTATTAATATAATAAAATCAAATAATAAATCTTAACATAACAGACAGGTAGATGTAGTAAGCTCTTACTATGTGGATCAAAATTACAGCATTTCAGAATAATATTTTTCATTTGTAAAAGTATATAGTGATAGTGTTGCTTAGTAATTTGTCTTTTTAAATAATAGCAAACTAAATTAAAATTATTACCCTTAATTAATTTTAACTTTTTAAATTACACATAGAACAATTATATGGCTTAAATAATTAATACTATATTTTATATTTTTTGTTATGGTTATAAACGTAATAATGGGAACACTAAATATAGATTACTAATTAATATTTTTAAAATTGTAATAATTATAATAATAACAGCAAAAATTAAATAAATAATATTCCATATTCAATTATAAAACTAATTAAAATTATAAAAATGTTTAAAGTTAAAAAATATTGTAAGGTAATTGGTGCAATTTTCATTTTGTTAATTGTGGGTAGGCTGTCTGAAACAACTATACCTCCAAGACATGTAACACCTCAGTCTCTCCCGTGACTATGGATGCTGTAAAGCATTCGAAACGTCGGGAACCAAAAATGCAAATAAATCCACGAAAAAAACCGAAAAGATAATTTTATTTAAAATGTCAAATATTCGCGTAAATCTAAGAAAGTATTATGCATTTAAATTAAAAAAAAATTATATTTATTTAAAAAACTTACCTAAACCGGTAAATGAACAAGGCAGTAAAAAATATACTGTCAATATTTTATCGAACTAACAGATAGAGTCTATGGTAAGGATAAAATCTCTCGAACAAACATTGTATTTTACGATTAAAGAAAACCGTAACAATTATATATAATATATATCGACTCTAACATCGTAGAACAAACGTACGGGACGTGATAGAAAAGTGTTTTAAATATTGAAATATCAAGTTGTATTCAAAGAAAACATTACTTTATTTTTAAAAATAAGAATAACTGCATTTAATTAATGTATGCATACTTTATTATTTGCAAAAATAAGTTTTTCAAATTATTTCTTAAACGTATCATGGAAAATATAAGTGATCTTAAGTCAAAATAACACGGCTAATATCATGAGCTTTTAACTGACATACTAACATCTACGTTATTTTTAAAGACTCAATGAGGGTGAGTCGTTAGTATTATATAAAATATTTGGTTGTAAAAAGAATAGGTTAAACTATTTTGCAAAAAGTAATGATTGTTTACCCTTCCATTTTATAATAACTGTTTTTTAGATATGATTTTGGAAGTAAAATATTTCATAAGCTTTTAAAAATAAAAAAAAAAACATTAAGAAAATTGTCGAATTCGCCTAATCTTCAGTTTTTTTTATCGAGTGAAGTTTACGATAATAGTAGTTTGAGACCCTGGAAAGGACATAAGATACTTTTTATCCCGGAAATCATCCCTTAAGGGGGTGAAAATTTGAATGAAAGTTTGTATGGGGGGTGAAGCCATGGACGAACCCGAGCGAAGCGAAGGTGAGTCGCTAGTGTGTATATATATAATGAGTAAAACACTTAACTTGTGTATATATTAATAAAATAAATAATGAATAAACAGTATTTATAGCCGTATTATAGCCGGCACTTATTAGCACGGCTATACCGTTTTATAGCCGTCATATAGCCGTGATAATAATATATTAGGTACTTTATACAGTTGTTGTAAATAAAAATAATTAGTTTTCTTGCATTTCTTCAGTAGGACAGGCATGTCGCAAAACGTAGCTGTTGTTACCGGTTCGAATAAGGGGATAGGTTTTGCAATAGTTAAGCTGTTGTGTCAGAGATACGATGGGGTCGTGTACTTGACGTCGCGAGATGAAAAGCGAGGAAGGGATGCTCTGGAAGAACTCAACCAGCTTGGGCTCTACCCCGAATACCACCAGCTGGACGTGACCGATAGGGAGAGTGTTATCAAGTTCAGAGATCATATCAAAAATAAACACAGCGGTCTCGACATTCTTATCAACAATGCAGCGATGGGCAGTAGCTTAACTAAAAAAGGCTTTCAAGAGGATAAAAATATTATCGAAATCAATTATAAAAGTGTACTTACTGTTCAAGAACTAATTTTTCCATTGATTAGGAACACTGGGCGTGTACTAAACATATCAAGTAGCTGTGGTCATTTGTCTAATATTAGAAATAAATATTGGATTGACAGACTCTCTCGTAAAGACTTGACGGTTGATGATATAAACGAATTTGTAGAATGGTTTCTAGAATCTTCTAAAAATGGAACTTTTAATAAAGAAGATATAGTCGATAACGGAAGTTTTGCTGCTTACAGAGTGTCCAAAGTCGCTTTAAGTGCTTTGACTATTATTCAACAAAGGGAGCTTGAGGATCGGAATATTTCAGTGAACTCCATGCACCCTGGCCTCGTGCGGACCGACATGACCGTTGGCATCGGGATGTTCACAGCTGACGAAGCGGCCGAGACTCCTGTCTACTTAGTCCTTGATGCTCCTCAATCTTTGAAGGGTGCCTACGTATGGTACGACCGCCGAGAGCTCGACTGGTACGACTTCAAAGCAGATTATTATTTCACTATATCGTACGCTCGTAGTTGGCTCCTTCCAAGTATGTTTGCAAATTTCAAATACTATTTAGGGAAAATTTTTGGATGTAAATAAGTAGTGGAAAAATGATCTAAAATGTAATATCCACATTATAATATTATATTTTAATAGGAATATAATGGGAATAGGAACTTTAAAGGATTCTAAATAAAAGAAATGTTATCTTTGGCTTAAGCATGATACATTATGTGATAATTTTTTTTTATTTTACTTAGTTTTACTAACATATTTTAAATACAATATTTATTTATTTGTTTGTTTGTTCATTTATATGTTACATAGGCCGCTAACAGAGCATACGTTCCTACAATTGTACTTTTTGTTAACAAAAGAAAAATATAGACTAAATCATGTCCTAATTGTAAGCAATACTGCATTCTATTATGACAACATCATAATAATTCAATAATAGTAGTTTACAGTAAGCAAAAATCAAATTAAAATAAACGTTAACA